GAGACAGGGTCTCCCTGTAGCCCCAGCTGGCCTGGAACTCACAATGTAGACCAGGCTGGCCTCAAACTCAGAGATCTGCTTGCCTCTGCCTCCCAAGTGCGAAAGTTGTGTAACACCATGCCTGACAATTTATTCTTTAAAAAAATTTTTTTCTGAGTATTCTTTAAAAATGATTACCATGGTGGCACACACCTTTAATCCCAACACTCTGGAAGCAGAGGCAGACAGAGCTCTGTGAGAAGTCAGGTTAGTCTATACCTGAGTACTGAAACCCTGTCTCAAACCCATCCCCCAAATAAATAAATAAACAATTTCTTATATTGAACACACATGCACACACAAGTGCAGACACACACACTCACACACACGGAACCCTGTGCCATGAGTTATGAAAATTAGAAAAGAAAATGAGGTAAAGCCTATCTTCTGGCCAGAAGGACAAACAATCCTGACTGATGGTAGCTTGTAGCTTTAGAACACTTTTCCACAATCCACAAATGTTAGAACTAAACAAGAGTATCCAACTTTGAGGCCTGGCTGCAGCCCAGTGCTGGAATGCTTGGCTAGCATGTGTGAGACCCTCGGTTTAATCGCAGCATCAAAAGAAAGTGACTTAAAAAAATTTTTTTTTAAAAATGCATGTTGATTACCAAGCCATATTTTAAAATTTTTTTTATTTTTTAAATGTTATGTGTATACGTGTATTACCCTGCATGTAGGTAAGTGCACCCATGTCATGCAATATCTGCGGAGGTCAGAAGAGGCTGTCAGATCCCCTGGAACTGGAGTTATGGACAGTTGTTAGCTGCCATGTGGGTGCTGAGATTCGAACCCAGGTCGTCTACAAGAACAACCAGTGTTCTTAACCACTGAGCCATCTCTCTAGCCCCGAAGCCACATTTTTTAAGAGTGATATAAATTAAAATTTCTCCTCTATTGAGTACATAAATGCATTAATAAGAAACGATAACCCAGGCATTGTGGCTCATGTCTATAATCCTTGCGCCTGGGAGGCTGACAAACAATCACTGTGAGTTTGAGGCCAGCCTGTCCTCAAAAACAAAATAAATACATTTCTAAACAGATGAAGAGGAGAAATTACATAAATCAGTTTAGAAATTCAATATACGATGCTCTTGCCTTATGGAGAGACTGTAATGTCAAATTTCTCTGCTTACATAAACAAAACACAATCAGGGGCTAGGAAAAATAGGTCAGTGTTTAAGACCACTTGGTGTGCAAGCATGAGGACCAGAGTTCAAATCCCAAGCACCAACACAAAGCACTACGTGTGGCTGTGTGTATGCTAGTAACCCAAATGCTATGGGGCATCAGAGACAGGAACGTTGCTAGGGTTACCTGGTCACCAGCCTAGCTCCACCTTCAGTGAGAGATTCTGTCTCAAGGAAATAAGGTGGAGAGTGACAGAGCAGGATACCTGATGTCCTCCTCTGGCCTCTGCATGTGCACAAGCTAGCACATATATGTGCATGTAGACCACAATCCCCCCAACACACACCCCACCCAAACAATAACAGCAACAACGAGACAATAGTCATCCTACCAATTTTTCTCTTTTCTTTCTTGGGGATTTGGGGTCTTCCTCCAGGTTTACCTCAAATTCACTATGGAGCCGAGTGACCTTGAGCTCCTGAATGTCTGGCCTCTAAGAATTATTTACCGGAAACAGGAATTACAAGCATTCAACACCAGGTTTGGTTTATGTGGTGCTAATTGAACCACATCCCCAGCCGTGATACTCATTTCACTGAAGCTGAATGTTTTTTCTGTTGTTCTGATTTTGAGGCAGTGTTCTTCTCATACATCCCAGGTGCACCTCAACTCACTAGGTAGTTGAGGATGACTGTGAATTTCTTATCCTTCTTCCTCAGCTTCGTATGTGCTGAGATTATAGGCAGGTGCTAACCCACCTTGTTTAGGTGGTATTAGGGACTGGATCCAGGGTCCTACGCTAGGCACTCTACCAACTGAGTGACATCCCAGCCCAAGTGTTCTTTTAAAGAGAGAGAGGATAGGAACTAGAAATGTCTCTACCCCTGGGCTTCACATACTACACTAGCAAACCTCAACGTCAGCTGAAACAAGTATCAGAGCCACAGTTCCTTTGAGTTCTTTCTCCTTCCTTTTCCTTTTGCTGGTAGTGGTGGTGCATGCCTTTAATGCCAGCACTTGGGAGGCAAAGGCAAGCAGATCTCTTTCAGATAAAGGCCAGCTGGGGATATAGGGAGACGCTGTCTCAAAACAAAACAAAATCAAAAACAAAAGCTAGATTTTTTTTTTTTGGTCTTTTTGAGACAAGGTCTCCCTGGAGCCCCAGCTGTCCTGGAACTCACTATGTAGACTAGGCTGCCTTGAACTCACAGAGATCCGCCTGCCTCTGCCTCCCAAGTGCTGGGATCAAAGGCGCGTGCCACCACAGCTAGCTTGTAATACATGAAAGATCTACTTAAAGCGAGCAAAGAATGAGGCAGATTCACAGAGGAACATATTAGTGGTAGAACATTCCTTAGCAGGCACACTGGGTTCAGTCCTCAGCACACTATGACCCAGGTATAGAAACACAAGCCTATAAACACAGTTCTTAGAAGCAAGAGGATAAGAAGTTCAAAGTCAGCCTGCCTCAAATTAAAACAAAACAAAAATAGTTAATAATGAAAGCTGAACTTTCAGGAGACACTACAAATTCTAAATATCTCATTTCCAGGGACACTACTTTGAATACACCAGAATAAATTATTTACATGACGAGGGTCGGCATACAGATGAACAGCTAAACATAAAGTTACTTTTTGTACACGTGCAGATGCCTGTGGAGGCAAGAGGTCCATGGTGAATATCTTCTTTGGTTGCTTGCCACTTTATTTTGAAACAGGATCTGTAGACAGTCAGATGCTGGCCTGCTTCTGCCTTGCCAGCACTGAGATTATAGGCAAGAGAATACAAGCCCAGTTTTTTTTTTGGGGGGGGGTGTGGTATTTATTGCCCTTTTTTTTTGAGACAGGGTCTCCCTGTAGACCTAGCTGGCCTGGAACTTCCTATGTAGACTAATCTCACAGAGACCTGCCTGCCTCTGCCTCCCAAGGGCTAGGACACAAAGTGGTGCCAGCACGCCCAGCAGGGTTTTGTTTCTGAGACAGGGTCTCACACATTGGCTCAGGCTGGTCTTCAACTTCTGCTTCCACCTTGCTGGTGCTAGAATTACCACAGTCAGCTAAATGATCCACCACTGTCAGCTAAAATCCGTTCTTTCTTTGTTTCTGATCTTTTTGTGTCAGAGTCTCACTATATAGCCAAGGTTGGCCACACCTCCCAACTGCTGGGATTATAGCTAAGCACCACATCCACACCTGTTTTTACATGGGTTGCATGCTACAGATTCAACGCTGGTCCCCATGCTGCGTGGCCAGCACTTTACCAACTGAGTCATTGCCCTACTCTTAAAATTCATTTCCTATTGTCAAAATTGGCTTGACCCAGCTTAGTCTCAACTCGCATGACCTTTGGCATAGCTATCTAAAACAATGAATAACAAGCTGGGATAAAAACAGAACACACAATGTACCTTCTGAGCAACAAATGAACAAAACTGAGCTGCACGACACAGATGCCACTGCCTCAAGACCAGCCAAGTGGCACCTGAGTTCGTTTGTTCTAATGCTCACAAAACAATAACAGAAACCAGAAAGAGAAGAATAGAAGTATAAATTAAAATCATCAAAAGGGAAAATGTTGGAAAAAGTGGTATAAAATGGTTTCTTTCTGATATTTTCTAAGACTTTCTGGTGGGAAAAATAATCTAATAATTCAGACAAGGAGTATCATAGTTCAATTTCAGTTTTTGAATGAGGACAGAGCAGCACACAGGGAGGCTGTTAAGATAGTAATGCTCAGAAGACAGCAGGAATCAAGTTACAGACATTTCCAGGGTTCAAAACGCCTCCACCATGCTATAGGTGGGTAAGAACTTTCAGCTAGTGTTTAGATACCAGCAACAAATCAAATAACTTAATTATCCACAAAATAACAGTTCTAGACATTCGTTTTCAGATTGTGCAGAATCAAATCTCAAAAGTTGCCATTTTGCCCGGCGTGGTGGCGCACACCTGTAGTCCCAGCACTTGGAAGGCAGAGGCAGGCGGATCTCTATGAGTTCAAGGACAGCCTGGTCTACATAGTGAGTTCCAGGACAGCTGTGGCTACAGAGAGACCCTGTCTCAAAAAGACCAAAAAAAAAAAAAAGGAGGGGCCGGAGAGATGGCTCATGGCTCAGCAGTTAAGAACACTGGCTGTTCTTGCAGAAGACCCAGGTTCAAATCCCAGCACCCACATGGCAGCTAACAACTGTCGGTAACTCCAGTTCCAGGGGATCTGACAGCCTCTTCTGTCCTGTGTGAGCATTGCAGGCAATACACACATACATATAAAATAAAAATAATAACTATTTTTTTAAATAGTAAAAAAAAAAAAGAAAGAAAGAAAAAGGAGATGAGTATGGTGGTACAAACTTTTAAAACCAGCACTTAGGAAGGGGAGGGGGAAAGGGGAGGCAGAGGCATGTGGATCTCTGTGAGTTCAAGGCCAGCCTGGTTTATGTAGCAAGTTACAGGCCAGGCAGTGCTACACAGTGAGATCCAGTCTCAGAAAACCAAAATGAAGGCTGGAGAGAGGGCTCTGTGGCTGAGAGCTGCTCTTGCAGAAAACCCACGTTTGGTTCCCAGCACCCACAATGTGACTAACAACCATCTATAACTCCAGTTCCAGGGGATCCAACACCCTCTGTTGGTCTCCGTGGGCACTGCATACATGAGTGCATTACATACATGCAGACAAAAAGTAAAAACAAGTAAGAATTAAGAAACAAAAAAATAAAAAAGAAAGGCCAGCCATGGTAGTGCAGGCCTTTAATTCTAGCACTCGGCAGGCAGACCTCTGAGAGGTCAAGGTTAGCCTGGGCTACATAGTGAATTCCAGACCAGCTAGAGCTATAGCAAGAACCTGTGTCCAAAATCATGTCTCCCCCTCTAAAAAAAGCCACATAAATGGAGGAATGGAAATTTTAAAAGTTGTCACCTCATATAATTTTCTTTTTCTTATAAGCATAAAATGAAAACTCTTGATGGGGTGATATGCAAATATATACCAAACCCCAAATTCTGCTGGATAAGAGGCAATGCTCTGTGTGCCACCATGAGGGAGGTGAAGAGGTATTCCTGGTATGGGCAACTTTCCTTCACTCTTCTGTAAATCTACAAAGTGGGAGGTGGGCAGAGCCTGTGGATCTGGCACAGTGCATTCCACCACAGATCCACTGGTGATGCTGCTTCCTCCCCTCAAGAGCCTGTCACTGTGTGTGTCACGACAACCTGCAGGTTACCAACACCATACCTCTACACGTGCCCTCTACATTCTGGTTCAAAATCTACAATAAGAACAAAACAAACAAAAACTACCTACAAAGACTGTTCCAAAAAAAAAGGATTCAGCATGCCCCTCGAAGGTAGGCTCCTCATGGGTGAGTGTGACATCACCAGTGGAATGAAAGCTGGAGCTCTGCTAGGCTCTAGAACTGGCAATCCATGCCTGCCCTGCACTTTGCAAAGAGAGGAGACTTAGCCGAATGTCACTGGAGAACTGGTATCTATCCCAGGATACCTCAAAGAAAAAGGAATCCTATCAAGGCTGGCTCTATTTTTAAACTGATAAGCAGGTCATTTCAACAGAGAAATTATAAATAAAAAGTCCAGGTCCATTGATGCAGAACAGCTTCTTTCAGTAAGAAGGACTCAGAAGTGCATTGTATATCTGCTTTAATATTCATGTGGAAAGGATAGTCTTTGCCTCTTCTACTTCTTCTTTACAGGAATCAGAGAATAAGAGCGACTGTCCTGCCATTAGACAAGGTGTCTATGACAGCTTTCTAACTGACTTGGTTGTAGGAAACTTGCACTTACAGGTACACCTCTTCCACCAGGTGTCTGCCTTCCAAAATCTGCAAACGCTGGTGTAAAGTCAGGTGTTCGAGGCAAAATCCGAGGATCCAGAGTTCGCATTGGCAATTTGGGTTGGTTGATCTGCAGTAAGAAGTAAAGGAGAGCTTGAAATAAACATGCTCTAGAGACAGAAAATGAACACAGACTTTGATGAGTGCTATTAGTTGAAATGGTAAACACTGGCTTCTGCATCAACTAAGTCCAGCTTGGTGCCTGGCAGCTTCCTTTGTAGCAGCCTCAGAACCCCCAGGATAATAGTGTTTTACTGGGGCCCTGGGACTGAGCAGGGTTGTGGGACAAGTGCTTTATAAACATTGTGCCACCTCTACAGCCCTTACTCTATTTATAAATACTGTACTAATTTTCAGTGTGTATTACGAATCCCAGGTGTAAAGAGGAAAAATGTTGGGGTTGAAAAGCTGGCTCTGTGGTTAAGAACACTTGCTACTCTTGTAGAGAACCCACATTCAATTCCCAGCACTCACACGACAGCTTACAACCAACCTTAATGCACCTTCCAGGGGATACAACAGACTCTTTTGGCCTGATCCGGCACTGGCCATGCTCATAGCACACATACTACATACAGGAAAAACACTCATACACTTAAAATAAAAAGAAATAAAATAAAGGGGGGGGGGATACTTATCTCTCTGCAAGGACTAGGGATTATAATCCCTAGATTACAGGCAATTTTGAGATATACACTATGTGAATTTTGTTCTCTGCCATTTGAGTTTCATCTGCTAAACAGATACCTTCCCAGGCGTCTGATCTGTCCCTATTGCTACTGAAATTCCAATAACCAAAGTTAAAATAGGAACGAAAGAGGTCTGTTTCAATTTACCATATTTCCTCTACCAAACACACAATTTTTACCAGACTCCCAAGAATGAGCCCCAACAAGCAGACAAGTTAATGCATTAAAAAGAACAACAACAATAACACTTGGGCTGGAGAGATGGCTCAGCAGTTAAAAGCACTGGCTGCTCTTGCAGAGGACCTGGGTTCAGTTCCCAGCACCCACATGGTGACTAACAACTATACATAACCCCAACTCCAGGGGATCTGATGCCCTCTTCTGACCTCCGTGGGCACTGCACAACATGGGTGCATTTACATACATACATGTAATACACTCATACACATAAAAAAAAAATGAAATCTTTAAAAAAATGTTTTGGGAATCCCTACTTTTTTTGAGGGGGGGTATTTGTGAGACAGGGTCTCCCTATAGCCCCAGTTGGTTTGAAACTTGGTATATAGACCAGGCTGGCCTCAAACTCACAGAGATCCTCATGCTTCCAACTCCTGAGTGCTGGGATTAAAGGCATGCTCCAATATCTATTTCTTTTTCTTAATATATTTATTATTTTTATTTTATGTGTATGAGTGTACTGCCTGCATATACGTTAAGTGCACACATGTGGTGCAGTGCCCATCGAGGTCAGAAGAGGGCATCACGATTGCCTGGAACTGGAGCTGCAGATGGTTGTTAGCCACCATGTGGGTACTGGAATTGAATCTGGTTCCTCTGCAAGAACAGCCAGTGTTCTTAACCACTGAACCATCTCTCCAGCCCCAAATACCTACAGTTCTTAAGCATTACATTTTTATTCGGATTCACCTACCACCACACAGCTTACCTTATCCAGAACTACATCACTGATGGGAGGCAAGCCCTCTGGTTTCTGGATACAAGCCGGCATAAACTGGAAGTCCAAGAGAAACTCCCTGTCGTACTGTTTCTTGCCTTCAGTGTCAGCAGGCTTCCAGGATTCTGAAAGGAAGAATGAACAGACAACAGCTTGGGGAAACCAGTTTCCAATATTTACTATATTTCATCAAGGAAACAAACACACGAAGACCAAACAAAATGACAGGTGAAATAATGAAGATTTAAGCTACAATTTATTCAGTGATCCCTCCTGGAAACTTTTAAATAAAAAGAAAACCTGAAGAACAGAGAAAACATGTTATATACATCCTTATTAAGAACCTTTGGTCAGGTTCTTATTTGATACGGACATAAACAGTCCTTATTAAATGAAATTATCGAGCTGTAAATACCTCAGAAATAAAAGAATTTGACAAGGTTCCTGGAAAACAAGCATTGCTATGTGGTTGTGCACACAGAAAAGAAAAAGGAAAAAGAAACAAAACAACTTACAGATAATGAAACGTCTAATGGGCCAGACAGAATAGAGAATTTCCATCCTTACCTTCAGCTTAATCAGAAGAAGCTAAACTGGGAGTATATTTTTCCTCTAAATATCCTGACTCAAAGGACCTCTTGGCTGACAATTGTTTGTGTTTTGGAGACAGGGTCTTACTATAGAGGCTACACAAGCCTTGAAGCCTGGATCTTCCTGCCTCAGCTTTCAGAGTGCCGGGTGACAGGTGTGCATCACCATGACTGGCTTAGCTAATATCTTTAATATGAATTTTAAATTAAAATTTCCCATAGGACTTTGCTATTATTTGTATTATATCAGCTGTTCAACGTCACTTAAAAAAAGGTTTTGTGGTAAAGGTGCTTGTGGCCAAGCTTGACGACCTGAGTTTGATTCCAGGAACTCCCATGGTAGAAGGAGAAAATAAAACTCCTCAAAGTTGTCCTCTGATCTCTATGTGTGTTATGGCACACAGACTAAGCAAGCAAGCAAACAAATAAATGTAAAATTTTTGTAAGTTTTAATTTTATTTTTAATATTTTTTAATTTGTGTGTTATGTGTATGAGTGTATTGTCTACATGTATGTGAGTACACCCATGTCGTGCAATGCCAGAGGTCAGAAGAAGGCATTGGATTCCCCTGGAACTGGAATTAAGGTTGGTTCTTAGCTGCCATGTGGGTGCTGGGAATCAAATCTGGGTTCTCTCCAAGAGCAGTCAGTGCTCTTAACTGCTGAGCCATCTCTCCAGCCCCTTAATTGTATTTTTAATTACGTATATGAGTGAGTCTGAGAATGTGAATGCATTGCCAACAGAGGCCAGAAGAGGGCGCTGGATCCCCTGGAGCTGGAGTTATAGGCAGTTCTGCGCTACCTGACCTGGTTGCTGGGAACGGGTAACTCCAGTTCTCTGCAAGAACAGTAAATGCCTAAGTCATCTCTCCAGTCCTTGCTTACCTCTTATTATATAAAATTAGAGAAATCAGATATAAAATTTTATTGGATAATAAAGATAAGTCACTATTGCTCCCTTTTTGCCTGGACAAAACTTTCATTGAAATGAGGCCCCAGACCACATCAGGACAGGAGGCTGGATCCAGTTCGTGGTGGTCCCCACTGTAACAGACTGCAAACCCATATTGCTAATGATCAATTACCATTTTGAAGTTATTTTAAAACCAAACCTGAATTACATTTAATAAAAAAGCGGGTAACTTACAATAAACCCCTCCTTTCCTAATCCTCACTGCCAGAGACTGCATTAGAGGTAAAAGGAAATGAGCCAGTCAGTCAGATAGCCAGGCAATTTGACTATGCAAAACCGGTAAAAGTATAATTTACTGAGCCCTTAACAATGACAACACTACCACAATTTACTGAGGAATGTTTGGTGTTTCCTACAAGTGCTGAGTGATCTACAATGTGCCTAGATCTCTAAAACCAGTCTCAAAACACTGGGTCCTAAAGTTTGAAAAAAGATTTTATAGAAAAAAAACTTTGGTCTCATAGTTGCTATGTGAAATAAGAACATAATATTATGAGGTGGGTATGGTGTGGCCCACACCTTTAGTCCTAGCACTCAGGAGGGAGAGGCAGGAGGATCTTTGTGAGTTCAAGGCCAGCCTGGTCTATATAAGGAGTTTCAGGACAGCTGGGGCTACCGGCTCAAAAAAATAAAAAAACAAAACAAACCCATCAAAGAATATAACATTATGGTACCACAAAGCCTAGTAACAGGAGTCTGCTGGTAGTAAAAAGATCAAGACTGTGGTACATACATGTAACCTCAGGTTCTCTGGAGGTTGAGGTACAAAGATTTCAAGTCAAGGTCACCTTGCCTACCTAGTACATTCCAGTGCAGCCTGGGCAACATCATGAAACATTGTTTCAAAAAACAAAAAGAGCCGAGTGTAGTGGTACACACCTTTAAACCTAGCACTTAGGAGGCAGAGGCAGGCTGATCTCTGTGACACCGAGGCCAGCCTGGTCTACACATCAAGTTCTAGGCCAGTTAGGGCTACAGGGGGCAGAGGCAGGCTGATCTCTGTGACACCGAGGCCAGCCTGGTCTACACATCAAGTTCTAGGCCAGTCAGGGCTACAGGGGGCAGAGGCAAGCTGATCTCTGTGATACCAAGGCCAGCCTGGTCTACACATCAAGTTCTAGGCCAGTTGGGGCTACAAGGAGACACTCTCAAAAACAAACAAAAAAACCCCACAAGATACATTGTATATATGTATGAAATTATCAAAGAAAAAATAAAAAAATTAAAAACTATTTTTAAAATCCTTTTAAATAAAATAGCCACCTATGGTGGCTCAGGCCTATAATCCCAGCACTGTGGAGGCTAAGGCAGGAGAACAGGCATAAGCAAGAGGCCAGACTGGGTACAGAGTGAGATGTCCACAAACATCTACAACTGAAATGAAGTTTCCACAAAACTACACTCATTCTTTTTTCAAATTAAAAATATTTTTTTATGTGTAGGAGTGTAATGTCTGCAAGTATCCAAGAGTACCTGTGTTGTGCAATGCTTTTGGAGGTCAGAAGAGGTCATGAGATCTCTGTAACTGGAGTTACGGATAATTGTTAGCTATTTTGTGGGTACTGGGAAGTGAATCTGGATCCTCTGCCAAGAGCAGCCAGTGCTCTTAATGGCTGAGCCATCTCTCCGGCCCCTCAAACTAACTTTATTACTACTACTGCAGGTAATTGTACTGACAATTTTCATTTATTACCCTTTTTACAAATATAGCTTATAGGGCTGCAGAGATGGGTCAGCAGTTAAGAGCACTGACTGCTCTTGCAGAGGACTCACGTTCGATTCCCAGAACCCACATGGTGGCTAACAATTGTCCTTAACTCCAGTTCCAGGGGAATCCGATGCCCTCTTCTGACCTCCACGGCACTGAGCGACACAGGTGCACTCACATACAGGTAGGCAATAAAATAAAAATAATAAATAAAATAATTTAAAAAAATACAGTTTGTAGCCAGGCGTGGTGGCGCACACCTTTAATCCCAGCACTTGGGAGGCAGAGGCAGGCAGAACTCTGTGAGTTCAAGGCCAGTCTGGTCTACACAGTGAGTTCTAGGGCAGCTGGGGCTACAGGGAGACCCTGTCTCAAAAAGACCAAAAGAAAAAAAAAAAAGTTCACTTTGATATTATTTTTATGGTGTGTGTGTAAGTGTGTTGCCTCTGTGTGTGCTCTTCACTGCTGAGCTGTCGCTTCAGCCCTAATTTCACATTGTACAAATGTTAACATCAACAGTTTGAAAAATATCGGTCTGGATTATTTAGGAAGTCTAGTATTTTTAATCAAACTTTATGTTATGTACAGTTTTCTTTCTGTTTGGCAGATTAGGAAACACTTTCATCTATCCCAAACTTCCTATCAAAGGAACTATGTCTTGGCCACATATGCATACCAAATCTCTTCAGAAATCTCAAAGTCATTGAGGTTTACAGGATGAAGATACTTTTGTTTTATTTTGTTGTTAAGGTGCTGAGAAAGAAGTCAGGCCTCATTCTTAGGAGGCAAGTACTCTACCACTCAGCAGTACCTCAGCCCAGGGCAGAGTTTTTTTAAAAAAATATTTTATTTATTATTATCATTTTATGTGTATGCGTGTATTGCCTGCATATAGGTGAGTGCATCCGTGTCATGTAATGACTGTGGAGGATAGAGAGGCTGTCGGATCCTCCTGGAACTGGAGTTACAGACAGTTGTTAGCTGCCATGTGGGTACTGGAATTCGAACCTGGGTCTTCTGCAAGAACAGTGTTCTTAACCACTGAGCCCTCTCTCTAGCCCCACCCATGACACAGTTTTAACACCATCTGAGGCTGTCTTAAGGTGAAAGAGCCTCCAGAGCATATCACTATCACACAGTAATTTTGCAGAGCACCTCCTTTCTATTAAGGGGCATAGGTGGATACTGGAATCATACTGTGTCTGTCTGATTTGTATAAGAATTCAGTTGCAAAGAGGAACTGTTTTTTTTTTTAAACAACTGAATCCAATGCTTGGGAAATAACAATTTTCAGGGTACATGGTTGTACCCACAATAGCCCTTTAAAATAAAATGAATGCAATTAGATTTCTCTTACAGCATTCTAACAACCTGCACTGGCAGATCCACTCCCTTGGCAACTGCTCTTTGGAGTACTCTTCATTAACTGCCACAAACTTAGGACTACATGTCTACTGTGCGTGGTAAGCCCCTTCCAACCAGCTGCTCTCTCTGGGAGGCATTTCTGTAAGATTACACAGGAGGAAGGGGAGAAGGCACATGGGAAGTCAGGGATCACCTTACCTGCTTTAAATGGGAATGTGACCCCGTCACCAGAACTATCAGTCGAGCCAGAATTAGCATCTAGTCCTTCACCCTCAGAAATGCTCTCCGCACCATTGCGGATGGGCTCGGCTGCTTCTCCGTTTTCTTCCACGGCTTTCACTTTTTTTAGGTCAGGATCTCTCTCAAAGTGAAACCCTTGGCTCATTTTATCTTGCTCAGGTTCAAGTACTCTGTCAAATGAAAGCTCCTCTTCGGCTTTAGGCTAAAGCATAAGTTAACAGAGAAGTTACATTATTTGATGTTTAAATATACATAGAAATCTACACCAATGCCTAAAAAAAGACAACATGTTCCACTCAAGCTCAGAATGTCTGTGTTGACCACGTGATTATCAGAACATTAAGTTGAAAGTCGTCTCACCTGCCACGTGGGACAGACTTTCAGAAGACTCCTGAAGGGCTTCAACCTGTGACTAATGTACCTACCTCAGTGCAGAAAGAATTGTTAATCCTTGAGACCTGGCAGACAGGAGCAAGTCCTAGTCAGAAACTAAAACAAGCATTCCCCTCTTACACCACAGCTCATCACATATAAAAAGAAACACTAGAGAGGCCGTTCTGCTGGCCTCGGGTTTTTGTACATAGTTTTGGAGAATTAAGGTATCTAAATCCTACAAAGCTAAGAACATCTCAATTTAGCGGGGAGGGAGCCACATGTTAGTTAAAAATCTACTTGTTCAGACTCATCTGAATCTATGATCATATTTGTAGGACATTAAAAAAAATATTTTATGCCGGGCGTGGTGGCGCACGCCTTTAATCCCAGCACTTGGGAGGCAGAGGCAGGAGGATCTCTGTGAGTTCAAGGCCAGCCTGGTCTACATAGTGAGTTCCAAGACAGATGGGGCTACAGGGAGACCCTATCTCAAAAAGACACACTTACAAAAAAAAGAAAAAGTTGCCATTCAAAAACAAAAAGGAGCCGGGCGAGGTGGTGCACGCCTTTAATCGCAGCACTTGGGAGGCAGAGGCAGGCGGATCTCTGTGAGTTCAAGGCCAGCCTGGTCTAAATAGTGAGTTCCAGGACAGCTGGGGCCATAGGGAGACCCTGCTTCAAAAAGACAAAAAGAAAAAAGAAACATGGAAAAAACCTCTACTGCAAACAGACTTCAAAATTTTTTGCTGGGTATGGTGGCGCACGCCTGTAGTCCCAGCACTTGGGAAGCAGAGGCAGGCAGATCTCTGTGAGTTCGAGGCCAGCCTGGTCTACACAGTGAGTTCCAGGCCAGCTGGGGCTACAGGGAGACCCTGTCTCAAAAAGACCACCCCTCCAAATTAGTTTTCGTGTTTGATATACCAAGAGTTGAAAGTATCTCAAGAAAGAGACATGACACCACTGGCCTGCAGATGACCTAAAGAGATGCTGCCACCTACCTCTGTTTCAGCCTCTAATGCCTCGTCAGGGGTTCGGATCCAATCTTTTGTCTTTTTCCACGTCTTTGGTGCAGCAGTAACTGTTTGCGCTGAAATACAAGATCAGTCCTGTTACCACTGTGGTTATGGTTGCAAATTTTTAGGTTTAAAAGATACCTATATTCAGAATCAGCAGGAAGATGGAGACCTTCACCTGTAGCCAGGAGACAGGGATGATCAAGTGAACCATGGTGCAGCAGCCACCCAGCCACTCTACTGGTAAGGCAAGAGTGTTAGACCTAACACAGCTTTCCAACCAGTGGCACTTCCTATGGCATGGTGGGAGAACGCTCTGAAAGCTAAGGACTCTTTAAAGTATTAAGGATATATTTTGTTCAGAGTTCAAGTTTTTTTTTCGGTCTTTTTGAAGCAGGGTCTCCCTGTAAGCCCCAGCTGTCCTGGAACTCACAGAGATCTGCCTGCCTCTGCCTCCCAAGTGCTGGGACTACAGGCGTGCGCCACCACGCCCAGCGAGTTCAAGTTTTTTTTTAAAATATTTTATTATTTTCATTCTGTGTGTATGAGTGTATTGCCTCCATGTATATATGAGCACCCAAGCCATGCAATGCCAGTAGAGGTCAGACGAGCACGTCAGATTCTCCGGGAACTAGAGTTATGGCATCTGTCAACTGCCATGTGTGTGCCGGGAACCAAACCCTGGTCCTCTGCCCCAGTGTCCACATTTTAAAGCTTTCTACATAAGAAAAAGATATTCTAGGTGCTGGAGAGATGGCTCAGCAGTTAAGAGCACTGGCTGTTCTTGCAGAGGACCCAGGTTTGACTCCCAGCACCCACATGGTAGCTGACAACCATGTGCTAGGGATTAAAGGCATGTGCCACCATGCCCAGAAAAACTCTGTAACTCTTAATAAGGTGGAAGCAGAATGCAAAATGAAAGCAGTTTAGAGGATTGTTTTTACACAGACTGTGTGTCTCTGTCAGACCAGATGATCTAGAAAAATTAGGTATCCAGAATACACATTCAGCCTTTTGATACTTTGAGGAAATGGTTTGCCTCAAGTAGGTCACAAGGGAAGGCCAAAAGGGTTACTACATAGGTTAATCTCATGATTTCTGGCTTACTGTGGTCCTTGAGAAGAGTCAGGACAGACTAGCTTGAGGTATGTCAACACAGATTTACAGTGTTTATGATAATGACATTTGGGGGAATTTTAAATGTCTCCCCCATTTTCTTGTTCTCCCAAATAGTTTGTGTGCTCACACAATTCCGTTCCACCAGGAGAGATGGAACCCTTAAGCTCCGGGCTTGTGTGCTTTGGGTTGTTTCTATGTGACCTTCCTTGACTTTTCCCCACCCATCTGTCTTTAACACATCATTTCTTTCTGTTGACCTGTAGGATTCTTCTAATATTTTCTGCTCACTATGTAATGGTTAAATTATAGTTAAACTTTATATCCATGTGTTGAATAATTCTGTGAGACATATGACTCTAATGAATATTTTTAAAACCTTTATGACTGAATGCCTGAGCTCCTGTCTAACCCTCAGCATGGCTAAAAACAAATGAATAAAATCCCAGCACTCGGGAGGCAGAGGCAGGTGGATCCTTGTGAGTTCAAGGCCAGCCTGGTCTATGTAGTGAGTTCAGGTCAACTGGGACTACAGGGAGACCCTGTCTCAAAAAGACAAAAAAAAAAAAAAAAAAAAAAAAAACCCACCCCCCCAAAACCCCCAAAGAATAAATAAAAAATGGCTTTGTAAACCAAATCTTCCATCTAAAATTTGATGAAATAGAAATATGCAGTAAAAACGACCTATTTGATTCATTTGACTCCAGCACTAGAAAGGCTAGGCCAATGGAGTTGATTTGAAATGAAACTGCAAACCGGGTATGGTGGTGCACGCCTGTAATCCCAGAACTTGGGAGGCAGAGGCAGGCAGAACTCTGTGAGTTCAAGGCCAGTTTGGTCTACATAGTGACTTCTAGGCCAGCTGGGGCTCCAGGGAGACCCTGTCTCAAAAAGACAAAAAAACAAAACAAAAAAAAGCAAAACAACAAAAAACTTTATTGCAAAGAGCTTCCTATTTTAGAATGCCTTTTTCTTTTTCTTTTTTTGTCTGCCTCTGCCTCCTGAGTGCTGGGATTAAAGGCATGAGCCACCACGCCTGGATGCCTTTTTCTTTTTTTAAACAAATTTTAGGGGCTGGAGAGATGGTGAAGCGGTTAAGAGCTGACTGCTCTTGCAGAGGACCCAGGTTTGATTCCCAACACCCACATGGTGGCTATGAACCGTATTTAACTCCAGTTCCAGGGGAATCAGATGCCTTCTTCTGACCTCTGCAGCGTTGCATGACATGGGTGCACTCACATGCATGCAGGCAATACACCCATACCCATAAAAAAAAAAAACAAAACCATATTTTTATTATTTTTATTTTATGTACATGAGTGTATTGCCTGCATGTTTGTAAGTACACTCATGCCGTGCAGTGCCCATGGAGGTCAGAGGAGGGCATCAGATTCCCCTGGAACTAGAATTTTGGATGGAAGGTTGTTACCCACTATGGGTGCTGGGCATTGAACCCAGGTCCTCTGCAAGAACAGCCAGTGCTCTTAACCACTGAGCCATCTCCCCAGTCCCATATTTTTTAACTCGTACCCCAGGCTAGAATTCAGACCCTAAAAAATTGTGTCCTGGGGCTGGAGAGATTCAGCAGTTAAGAACACTGTTCTTGCAGAAGATCCAGGTAAAAAATCCCAGCACACACATGGCAGCTAACAATGTCTTTAACTCCAGTTCTAGGGGGATCCAACAGCCTCTTCTGCCTTCCGCTGGCATTGCACAACACTGGTGAACTTACCTACAAGCATGCATAACACTCATACACATAAAATAAAAAAAACCAAAATATTAAAAAAAGTCAAGTTGCCACTCTTCCAAAAAGTTATTCTCTCTCTCTCTCTCTCTCTCTCTCTCTCTCTCTCTCTCTCTCTCATCTGTCTATCAATCAATCAATCAATCAATCATATCTATCATCTATTCCAGACAGGGTCTCACTGTAGGCCTAGCTGGCCTGGAAGTCACTATGTAGACCAGGCTGGCCTTGAACTCACAAAGATCTGCCTACCTCTGCCTCCCAAGTGCTAGGAAAAGTTAATTAACTTTATAAATCCTAGGAGATTACCACTGGGGTTGGAGAATAGTCTAACAAACACAGAAGATGCACGTACTTGCTAATTTTATTAAACCCACGTATTTTTATTACTGTTATTATTTTCAGTTTCCTGTAGCCCAAACTAGCCTTGATCTTCCTAGTTGGCTGAGGATGACTCTGATCTGCCTATCCTCCACCACCCCGGCCCCATGTATGTCCTTAGACAGTTTTCCTAAAGCTCAAGGCATGTCCTGCATCCCGAGGTATACAGTATAAAAACACGATCTCGGGGCTGGAGAGATGGCTCAATGGTTAAGAACACTTGTTCTTGCTGAAGACCTGGGTTTGAATCCCAGGACCCATGTGGCAGCTAACAACTGTCTGTAACTCCAGTTCCAGGGGATCCAACAGCCTCTTCTGACCTCCGTGGGCATTGCATAACACGGGTGCACTTACCTACACACAGGCAATACATGCATATACATAAAAATAATAGGGCTGGGCGTGGTGGCGCACGCCTTTAATCCCAGCACTCGGGAGGCAGAGGCAGGTGGATCTCTGCAAGTTCAAGGCCAGCCTGGTCTACATAATGAGTTCAGCTGGGGCTACAGGGAGACCCTGTCTCAAAAAGACCAAAAATTAATTAATTAATTAATAAAAACAACAAACAAACAAACAAACAAACAAACAAAAAAAAAAAACCACAATCTCACAATCTTCGCAGGACTGCTAGCTCCTAGAGAAACTCCAAATAGTTAAGTCATGGTTTTCAGTTTATGAGTTAAACATTTTGTTGCCATGGCCAAATACCTCAGCAAAACAAACTGAGGGAGGCAAAATTTGTTTGGGTTCATGGTTTGATGTAGAGATGTCAGCACACCAGAGGCCAAGCAGCACAGAGAAGCTTGTGCTGCCGGCCTTCCTCCCCCTTCCCCTTCCAGTCTGTATTGGGTGTGGGTCTCTTTTCCATTTGTTCAGTGTAAAGATTTGGCTGGTTGGTGGGTGGGTGGGTTGCTCCCTCCCTCCCCATTTTCCCCCCATTCTTTAGAGACAGGGTTTCCCCATGTAGCCCTGCTGGCCTGGAACTGGCTAAGTAGACCAGGCTGACATCAAACTCTGCCTGCCCCTCCCTCCGAAGTGCTGGGGTTAAAGGAATACACCACAATACCCGGATTTGGTCTATTTTAATGATCTAATTTCTTTGTTGGCGCCAAGATTTTTTTTTTTTTGCATGAACTGAATGTTTTTCTGTTTTGTGTTCACAATTCTCACTCTAAACTTGTGTAAAAGCAATCAGCAATAACTATGCCACAGACAGAATGCTGCGCTGCCTTGAAATTTCCTGACTAGTTACCTATCAATTCAGGATTCTACAGTCTCAGGGCATGTGCAAAATATAGACAGACGTTTTAGTGCAATGGAACACAAATCCCTGAAAAATTCTCTCATCTCAGAACTCCAGGGCCTGGCCTGCACTGCCATACTGAGAAGTCCGTTGCCGCTTCTGCAGCTCATAGCACAAGGGCCTACTAAGCTCCATTGACAGCATTCTGAAGCTGTTCTATCTTATAGCTCCAAACTTTTCCAAGTTCTTCTCTCAAACTACTTCCAAATACTGAAGAACCAAACAAGCTTAGTCACAGCAACAACCTCACTTTTCAGTACCGGTTTTCTATGTCATTCTTTCACCAGGGTGACTAAAAATCTTGGGAAAACAATTTAAGGGAGGGAAGATTTACAGTTGATCATCGTTTGAGAGATCTGAGTCCAGAGTGGAGGAGGAGAGCAATTTATATTATGGTGGCCAGGAAATCGAGGTGTGCGCCTGTGAGGGCTTCCTCCACGCCCCTTTCCTTGCCTCTGAGTCCTCAGCCCATTGGGTGGTGCAGCCCAAAATCACAACTGGTCTTCCTTAGCTAGTTTTCTCTGGGA